CCCGTTGATAGACAACCGTCTGAAAATTTGCAGCCGTGTCAATGCACAACTCCTGGGACTTCAACGCCGCGAATCCACGTTACTGTCGCGCCCCGACAATCCTAAACTGTGCCCAAACACCCTGTTCTGGGAGGACCATAAGAATCATCGAAACTGCCGTAAAGTGTGAAGACGAATGCGCGCGGCGCTAAGGCGAGCGCCACACTTTGAAAACGACCCGCCCCCAAACCGTGAAACTCTTGCAAGCTTTTGGGACGAATGCGCGCGGCGCTAAGGCTAGAGCAACACTTTGAGAACGACCCGCCCCCCATCCGTGAAACTCTTGCAAACTCTCACGACGAATGCGCGCGGCGCTAAGGCGAGAGCCACATCTTGAAAACCACCCGCCCTCCATCCGTGAAGCTGCTGCCAATTTCAAGTTTCGGGATCATGGGGAAGACGTCCCAGGCGAAACGCCCGGCCCGCCCTGCCGACCCGCCTCTGGGTGCGACAGGGAGGAGTTATTCAACTGTAAGGAAGAGGGATGGAGGCGGAGCAGGAGGAAGGGTCTCCTCCTCCTCTTCCTCCTCCTCCTGATCCTCCTCCTCCTCCTCCTTCTGATCCTCCTGTTTCTCCTTCTCCTCCTCTTCGATCCTCCTCCTCCTCCTCCTCGATCCTCCTCCTCCTCCTCCTCCTCCTCCTCCTCCTCCTCCTCCTCGATCCTCCTCCTCGATCCTTCTCCTCCTCGATCCTCCTCCTCCTCCTCCTCCTCCTGCTCCTCCTCCTCCGCCTCCTCCTCCTCCTCCTCGATCCTCCTCTTCCTCCTCCTCCTCCGCCTCCTCCTCCTCCTCCTCCTCCTCCTCCTCGTCCTCCTAGATCCTCCTCCTAGATCCTCCTCCTCTTCCTCCATGAAGACCAGTCAAACGCTGGCCAGGTCATGGCGCTGCAGGGGGGTGCCCTGCTCTACGCTGGGGGCGCGGCGGCCGCGGGCGGCGGGCGCGGCGGCCGCGAGCCCCAGGCGTCGCAGTCGCTGCCGGCCGGGTCCGCGCAGGGCAGCGTGCCGGGCAGCCGGGAGATCCGGGGCGACGGTAGGTAGAACGACGCGAGGACAAAATCGGATCGGGATAACTCGAAATCTCTGAGAATCGGCGGGTTTGGAGGATGTATTGGGCGCCGCGGCCGCTCCAGAGCGTTCCAGAACGCTCTGAGAGCGCTCCGGAACGCTCTGGAGCGATTTATCCTGATCCTAGCCCTGTTTTATTAGGGGCCCAGACCCGCTCGAGCAGCGAGGCAAAGATCACCACGGAAGGTTCTTCGTCATTTTCTCAGGATCGTTGAACCGATCCCCCTCCCCATCCCCGTCCCGAGCCCCACCACCTCGCCACCCCAATCGGGGATGCACCCCGCGAAGCCCGAAGGGAGCAGCCCATATCCCCATATCCAGGGGGGCAGATCGGCCTGTGGGGCCGAGGCCACGCTGGTGGGGACGGGTATCGGTCAAACGATGCTCAGCTTTCGGCCCTTGGGTGCTCGGGATCAGAAGCCGGTCCTCGGGGAACGGGTCGAGGCCTTCGGGGATCGACGTCGGTTCAGAAGATCATGGCGTCGGGAGTCTGGGGGGGGGGAGCGGCTGAGGGCGGGGGTCGAGGTTCGAGGCTTGTTGCACACTGACTTTGTCCCCGCGTCATACTCCTTCCCGACTTCTCCTCACACTCGTGCTAATACTCGAGGGTTCGAGGGTCATGCTCGAGGGTTCGCGGGTCGTTCTCGTACTCGTACTCGTACTCCTCCCCGCCTTCTCCCCGCCTCCTCCTCCTTCTCCTGCTCCTCCTCCGTCAGCTATGGCGGAACCCGGCGGTGATGCGGCAGGGTCGGATGTTTTCTTTCTGTTGCTTCTTTTGAAAATGGGAGGGGGAGGCCTTCCCATTGTACGGTTGTGAGGGTGCTGGAAGAAAGATGACAGATGAATGCGGCTTGAAGCCGCAGCAGGATCCAGGTCCCATGAATTTGAGATGCTGTACCTGCACTGCGCATGCTTGCTTGCGTACTTCAATTCGATGTGTCGTTTGCTTGCGTTGTCCCCTCGTTTTTGGGGCCTCGGTTGTTTCGCTCGGTCGGTTGTCCCTCCGCCGTGTGTCTCCTCTGGCCCTCGCTCGTTTGTCTTTTTCCGGCCCTCGTTCGACCCCCGCTCCTCTAGCGTATGGGAGTTAGCGCTTGACGCTAACCCACGTCTAGATCAATCCTCGTTGCCGAGGGACAACATTTCATAGGGAAGTCAGGAGCCTGGGACGAAGCGTCGAGGTTTGCCGAGATTCGGGGCCGTCGGGCGTTCTCGTTGGTTCCAGGCGGCGTTCCAGCCTCGGGGTGCTTCTCGGTGGCTGCGATGGGCTGATGGGGGACGCATGGACCCCCCATCTCGGTATCGTTTAACCGATCCCCATCCCCATCCCCATTCCCTTCGAGACCCCCACCAAATTACCACCCCAGTTGGGGATACACCCCTCGAAACCCGAAGGGAACG